AATACCCGCCCAAATATTTATTTTAAAACGTTGTTGGAAATGACCTTCACGAATGGTATGAGAACCCACGTGTGAGTATACGCTACTTTGGCTACTTCTAATAATTCCGGTGGAGTCAAAAGAAACTCGGAATTAGACATTTTTTACTTTATAGTATTAAAAATACTTTCTAAACATCCACTTAATTTACAATTTTTAAATCAAAGTAAGGTTACTTATATTTGATTACTTTAAAAGTTTCCTTAGCAAAACATGCCTAATTGTCGTTATAAGTACAACATAGTCTACTAATTTCAAAATCCAAATTTCACATCGATAATTTTCTGACTTAAATATTGTAATAGTATAATTTTTCAATATTAAATCATCGTTTTTCTCGTCACAGAAAAAATACTAGATTTTAAAATCTAGTACTTTTTTCCCTTGTATAATAAATAACTATATTTGTTCTGCATGCAGAGCTTTGAAAAATGCTCCATCTCATGTCGTCTTTTTTTCCTTGCTCTAGCAAAAACGATTACCGTCCTGCGTCTGGCAACACCGCTTTAGTACCCATTAAGCCCGCTAAACTCCTCCAACAAAGGGAGTCTCGGAGTTGATTGCATAAAGTTGTGCGGTAACTGTATGCATGTTTATGCCGAAATAAACTAGGAAAAAAGTTCTCCGCAGGCTTTCCACTAAATTTTCTCTAATCTTCCAGCTCATTTATCTGAACTTTTGTCGTGGTGGGAGCCATTATTAAGCCGCCCTGGTGGAGACAGAAAACTTTTCACCCCATCTTTGTCTCGTTGTTTACCTGCCGAGTCGCTTGTGTCGCCAGCTGAGGGGATTTTGGAAAGATAAACAGGGATGCAAAGTCGAAAATTCCCCTCAAGGTGGTTTCTTTGTTAACAATTCATCGGGAAACGAGGTATCTCGCTTCATCAGTAATGAGGACATCCGCACGCGGGCATCGAGACAGTTAACCTTTTAATTACCTTTTGATTGTTTAGATACTAACACAGAGTTATATGAAAGGCGTCTGGATCTACAGGGCGTCCCAATGAAAATGGAAAGTAGTTTTACGAGCAAACTGGAAAATATATGTAAAATCTGTTTTCGTTATTCAAGTTTGAATGGAATCAAATTTGGATTGGATTTTCACAACCATAAATGGAATCTGGTTTATTTCTCCAAAATTCCATTCCATTCAAATTTGAATCATTGTTTTTTCACATAATAAAATATTAATTGTTCAGTTCAATTGTCCATCTCATTAACAATATACTCGTAATTTGTTCAACTGCCTCTGGTGTGTTGACAAGTTTTTATTTAACATACCTTGATAAATCACACCATCTGAAGTGATTTGGCAAACATAGCACACCTTTTTACAAATTTTCGTTCCATCCATCGACACTGACACTACCAGCCTTCTGTCATCTGTCAAGTATTTCATTCTACTTATGATCCTGTGCCACACCATTTTGTGCAGCATCAGATTGTTTCACGATGTAACATGTAATAATTTTAACTTTCGTTACAAATAATTTTAATCCGTTTTGATGTGTTCCTGACATACAGCTATGTGTATTTTATACTTTTATACTTTTTTTACGATTAAATGTTTCCCTCAACTTAACCTCTAATAACATTTAGCAACAATCTCACATACCATTGTAAGTAATTTAAAATCAATTTGCATAATAGCTGCTATTTCTTCTTAATGTTATTGCAGCTCCTGATGATGATGGCATAGTACATTGAAAGCTAGAGACTAATAAAGTATAAAGAGACCTCACTGCTTCAATTTTGTCGAAGTACTCAACCAAAGGCGGAAGCTTTATTTTTACTCTTTATACTTTTTTTAATTCTCTCTAGCTTTCAATGGACTTTGCCATCATCATCAGGAGCTGCAATTACAATGATAACAGTAGCAACAAAGGTGTAAAATGAATTTAAATTGACTCAACTTACAGTAGTATGTGAGGATGTTGCTAATTGTTGTTTACGTATAGGATGAGGGAAACGTCCAGTAACATGGTGAGAGCGGGATAGATTGTACAATGGTCAAAATTATATAAAATATGACAAGAACAAGTTAAAAACAGATTAAAAAATTATTTAAAAAATTAGAGCATTACATCGTGAAGCCACTTGATGATTGCACAAATTAGTGGTCATGGAATAATGAGTGACATGAAACCCTTTGACAGAAGGCCGAAGGATGTCAATGTCAGTGTGGAACGAATTGTGGGCGTGTGCCAAACGTTGCCAAATCACTTCAGATGATGAGATTTTCAGAATTTTATGTAAGAATTTGTTAAACCGACCAGAGGCAGTTGAATAAACTATATTTTTATTAATGGGAATTTAATAATTGTTAATTTAAATTCCCATTAATAAAAATATAGTTTATTCAACTGCCTCTGGTCGGTTGCTAGTGTTATCATTGTAATTGCAGCTCCTGATGATGATGGCAAAGTCCATTGAAAGCTAGAGAGAATTAAAAAAAGTATAAAGAGTCCTCTTTGCTTAAATTTTGTCGAAGTACCCAACAAAAGGCGGAAGCTTTAATTTTTCACCTATATATATATATATATATATATATATATATATATATATGTATATCTTAATGTCTAAAGGAAAATGAATGATTTGAGTTTAAAACGCTACTTAGATAGTTTCAGTCTATATAAAAAAGTTGTTCCGACCCTCACTAATACATGTGTCATAGCAAAAAATCAGCTTCTGCAAAATGCGTCGCCCAAAACACTCACGATAACTCTAACTAGTATAGTAGCTAGTTAATCACTTAATAGGGCTTTGAGAGCCCGTTCCAGCGGGGCTGAGGAGTTAGAGACAAGAGTCGACAGAATCAAGTTGGTCATGTATGTACGTCGAGTTGCATTAAGTGTTGTTCAGTTAACTGAGAACGGAAGGAGGAAATGCATGGATTATCTGGTTACAATACTCCCTTTACAGATATTCTGTGTTACATTTGAAATAGAAGACGTCTTCAGTTTCAGACTGAATTGATTTGCTCGAGGGAAAAGGGTAATTGCACACTTCTCATTAGCGACCGCAATTGATACTCGCTGTTGCACACACGCATACGTTGAATGCTACGGGAATAATGGTTTGATATCATTCACCTCTTGATTAAAAAAATTGGACATTGTATCGAAGATAAACAGAAGGTAAACTGAATTAGTGTGCCCATGCCAAGCAAACTGCTACACTGACAGTGACAACAATAATTGTGGAAGACACCAAAATATACTAAGTGACATATAAATCCGAACACCCAGTTTAAATGGTTTTATTATAATAAAAGTTGGTGAATGTATTTATCTTACTGTAAATAACAAGTGAAAAAATTTTCAGCCTTATCAGTTGGACATTCCGGTTTTTATACTGCTTTTTTTAATTCACTAACGCTCTAAAAATGAATATTTCAGCCGCAGTAAAGAATCAACGTTGGCGGATTTTGGTTCTTGACATCCTTTACGATCGGTTACGATGCCTAGAGTACGGAGACCTGTACGATTTCGTCAACTTAGTGAGTTTGATAGGGGCCGTATAGGGGGACTTCGGGAAGCTGGACTTTCTTTTCGGGCAATTGCAGTTAGAGTGCAAAGAAGTGTAGACACTGTGGTTAGGTGTTGTCAGGCATGGCTTCGAGAAGGTCGTACGCAAAGAGCAAGGGGCACTGGACGCCGCCGTAGAACAACAGACCGTGAAGATCGCCGCCTAAGGTTATTGGCCTTAAGGGACCGCTTCTCCACTACCAGGTCCATTGCAAATGAATGGTTTGCAGAATACGGAAGACCTACTGGCATGCGAAGTGTTTACCGACGAATGAGAAGTTTTGGCTTGTTTTCATACCGGCCACACTGGGTCCTCCCTTCAACTTGAGAACACCGACGTAATCGCCTTGAGTGGTGCAGACAACGGTCACTCTGGGATCAGGAATGGAACAGTATTTAGTCTTTAGTGACGAGTCTCGATTTTGTTTAGGCATGCACGATGGTCGTGCCAGGGTTAGAAGGCGACGTGGTGAAAGGAGGAATCCACAGTTTTTTGTTGAAAGACATGTTCATCACACTGTTGGAGTTATGGTTTGGGGTGCTATAGCTTATGGTTCCAGGTCACCTTTAATCTTCATCAGAGGTAACATGAACGCGCAGCGTTATATCCACGAAGTTCTAGAACACCATCTTTTACCCTATCTTGACACCCTGGCAGATCCAACTTTCCAACAAGATAATGCCCGACCACATGTTGCAATAGTCACAATAGACTTCTTTCAACATAATGATGTCACATTGTTACCGTGGCCACCAAGATAGCATGCCTAGGCGCGTTGGAGAATGCGTAGCACATCAGGGTGCATCCACACATTATTAAAGGTCTAAGGGCTTTAAAGCAGTGCAATCATTTTGAAATTTTTATCATTTACTTATTATGCTTCATTAAGTACTTATACAAAATTTTATTAAAATAAAACCATTTAAACTGGGTGTTCGGATTAATATGTCACTTAGTATAAAAAGTATACCTGTGAGCTTAAACATATAAACGTAATCCATACATGGAAAGCGATTGCATATTATGTATGTGCGAAAGAAAAAGTCTTAATAAAAAAACTTGAGAAAGGTAAGGCTCTGGTTATAAAAAATCAGTTTGCCTTGAAGACGCGTGGTAACGAATGTTGTCTAAAATAACTTTTCTTATTAGTGAAAATCATATGTTTAGCTGATCTGTAAACACTGTTCGAAATACTGCCTCTAGATTGAATGCATTGCTCAATTTCTTATACAAGCCAAATCATTTCAGAACCATCTGCGTCAATTTTTATAATCAATACCTAGCAATTCTTTATCGGATCTCTTACGTTTTAGTTATGATTTTTTGTAGTTTGAGATGTAGAACTATAGAGTTTCATGATATATCATAGTTAAATTGAGATACCTTCGTTACGATGTGCTTAGTTAGAAGATATTTGAGAACATGCTTACCAACAATAGTGAGAAAGACAAAATGTCCAATGGGCGGCGTTGTGCTGATCTGGCACTCGTAGATCCCGCTGTCTTTTTTCTGGGGATAGCGTATCCTTAGTGTCCAGTCTTCTGTGTGAGGTGCATGGACTGCTTCAAATCGTTGGTCGGATGTGTAGGTATATCTGCCGACAGTCAGCAGGTGGATGTCTCTGTGACGCACCCACGAAACCTGAAAAAAAAATATTACAAGTAAAAGTTAATAATGTAAGAAGCAGCAAACGTTTTATCAAATATGGTTATGGTGTACCTCAGAGGACAGTAGTGAGTCCACTATTGTTCACTATATATGTAAATAGTTCATTCTAACTTAATATAACCCGTGAAGTAACATCCTGATCCCATGCCCGACTATGAAACATTACGGTTTAAAGCTGACATGTACTGTATAATTTTAAAATCTAGAAGCAATGAAATATCTCGAAATATATGTAGATCAAAATTTACGATGGAACAAACAAATTGTCTGTAACATTTTAGATCACCAATTGGCAAACTGGAAATATATAAACAGTTGTTTGACATCGAATATTCAAAAATTGAATACTCCACACTTGTCCAAAGCCAACTACAATGCGAAATAACTTCTTGGAAAATAAACTTAATACTGCCCAAAAATGGTTGCTTAAAATTATATTTGATAAAAATCACACATACCCTACCCTAAGCTGGTTTGTTGTTGACAGTGGTTTTTTATTGTGGTTACCACCAGACAATTCGAGTATCAGAATTCCAACGCAAATATCTCACACCGCCATCATACCACGCATAGAAGTAATAATAATATACGAGTACCCCAAGTTTAGAAAGTCAAAACACAAATAAGTTATACCCAACTTGGTAATGTATTTTATATTTCCGAATGAAATTAAAGAAACCTCAAAGTCTCAAAAAATAACTTGAAAAGTGGCTGCTTAACGGGGCTCCTACAATCACGAGCACCATCTGCTGAGGTAACGGGGGGGTGAAAAGGAAACGAGGGTGGGCTGGCCCTAGACGGTAGTCGGCGCTATTTTAAAAGAGGAAAGGATGACTGCGGGTGCATACCAAGGTAAATTTTTATAATAACAGTCTGTAAATCCTTTCCAATTTGGTACTCAGCAAGTGATCATTTAGTATTTTTCTCCCCTTGTTACTGTTCGTCGATATTGTGTTGTTGAATTGTTGTGGTGTACTCTTGTTGGTGTGCCTTTTTTTCGTGACTTAAATTTCCTGTAATCATTGGGACCAGAAGCTTCTTAATAATAGAACGTGTTGCACTGATATCAAAGATGCAACATTCAGAATCACTTTCCCCCCAATCCCCACTTTTGAAGCAGTACAATTTTTTTATGTCAATGATAAGGAACCCCTGTAACGTCAAAAACGGAGTTTCAGCAATTGTTACTTTTTATTTTTTGCCTATAGCACCCTTGCCATTGGACTAAAACTACAAAGCTTTTTCATACTAGTAACCCCGTGTGGAAATTTCATAAAAATCCGAGCGGTAATTTCCAAGTTGATGATGAGTGATATAGTTTTTCGTGATGTAGATGTCATATGACTTAAAAAAACATAACATCTCATTTTAGAAATTTTTCGCGATTACAATACTTCCTCGCCACTGGCTTTAAAATCGAGGAGTATCAGCGATCGCGATTATGAGTACCTATTTGCAGAACGACTTATCTATGCGATGTTATATGTAATAGGACCACCAAGTGATCTGAATACGTCCTTTCTTAGTCCGTACATTGTGCCGCAATACAGGTACTTGGGTTGGCAGCACGAAACAGCAGACAAAATTCGTCAAAAATACGATCTGTAGAGGTTTGCGCGCTTCGAAATTGACGCTTTATTTTTATTCAACCCATCATAGAACTTGTGCAAAAACAAATTTCAAAAAGTGCTCCTGGCACCCTGGAGAATTGTCTTATGAATATACTGTATGAATTTCATTCGAAAGTATTGAAAAATGGAGTGTCAGTTTCGAAGCAGCTGAACCCTTGTAAATGGCTTGAAACTCACTGCGTCGGAGCCGCCTTAATACTCCCAGATCAAAAATCAATCAGTTACTAGATAGAAAAAATGTTTATAATAATTGTGAATATAATACACTTATAGAATTTATGAGCATATATTTTGTTAGCCCATGAACAAGGTTCTACTCGTATATGTATCAAGCTCCATCCGCTAATAACAAATGGTCTATTAAGGGTTAATGAGGCATATGGTGTTATGAACTTACAGTCAAGAAAACCAGTGCTTTCCGAGCAATAATTTGTAGCTTCTTGTATTATACTCACTTTAAACCTCCTCTAGGTAATAAAACATATCGAGTTTCTCATAGATCATGAACGGAAGTACATTATTCAGAGGCAGGCCACTTTGGCATGATTTATCCAGCGTGTTTGCAGTCTTGGGGATGCGAATTTAAATAAGCATACCCACGAGGCGGGGAAGAGTCGAACTGTTAGATGGCTGCTGATTTATTATGCCATCGGTGGATATCTGTTTCCCTAGATTCCGTATTAACTAGTGATGTTACGAATATTCGGTTCGCTATTCGATATTCCGCCTATTCTGCCACTTTCTTAACGTCTGGTATTCGTACGAGAACATGGAATAAATTGAATTGAATTTTTTCACCATTCATTTATAGCTAAATTCGTTTTTTACTTATAATCTATATCCGCTCTTATACTAAATAATATACTAAGTGACATATAAATCCGAACACCCAGTTTAAATGGTTTTATTTTAATAAAATTTTGTATAAGTACTTAATGAAGCATAATAAGTAAATGATAAAAATTTCAAAATGATTGCACTGCTTTAAAGCCCTTTGACCTTTAATAATGTGTGGATGCACCCTGATGTGCTACGCATTCTCCAACGCGCCTAGGCATGCTTCTGATCAGGTGGTCAATGTCCTCCTGCGGTATCTCATTCCAGGCAACCACCAACTCCTCTCGAAGTGCTTCTAGAGTCTGAGGAGGACGTTGCAAATTGAGCAATCTCCTACCCATCATATCCCACACGTGCTCAATTGGGGATGAGTCGGGAGATCTTGGTGGCCATGGTAACAATGTGACATCATTATGTTGAAAGAAGTCTATTGTGACTCTTGCAACATGTGGTCGGGCATTATCTTGTTGGAAAGTTGGATCTGCCAGGGTGTCAAGATAGGGTAAAAGATGGGGTTCTAGAACTTCGTGGATATAACGCTGCGCGTTCATGTTACCTCTGATTAAGATTAAAGGTGACCTGGATCCATAAGCTATAGCACCCCAAACCATAACTCCAACAGTGTGATGAACATGTCTTTCAACAATAAACTGTGGATTCCTCCTTTCACTACGTCGCCTTCTAGCCCTGGCACGACCATCGTGCATGCCTAAACAAAATCGAGACTCGTCACTAAAGACAATACTGTTCCATTCCTGATCCCAGAGTGACCGTTGTCTGCACCACTCAAGGCGATTACGTCGCTGTTCTCGATTTAAAGGGAGGACCCAGTGTGGCCGGTATGAAAACAAGCCAAAACTTCTCATTCGTCGGTAAACACTCCGCATGCCAATAGGTCTTCCGAGTTCTGCAAACCATTCATTTGCAATGGACCTGGTAGCGGAGAAACGGTCTCTTAACATAAGGCCAATAATCTTAGGCGGCGATCTTCACGGTCTGTTGTTCTACGGCGGCGTCCAGTGCCCCTTGCTCTTTGCGTACGGCCTTCTCGAAGCCATGCCTGACAACACCTAACCACAGTGTCTACACTTCTTTGCACTCTAACTGCAATTGCCCGAAAAGAAAGTCCAGCTTCCCGAAGTCCCACTATACGGCCCCTATCAAACTCACTAAGTTGACGAAATCGTACAGGTCTCCGTAATCTAGGCATCGTAACCGATCGTAAAGGATGTCAAGAACCAAAATCCGCCAACGTTGATTCTTTACAGCGGCTGAAATATTCATTTTTAGAGTGTTAGTGAATTAAAAAAAAGCAGTATAAAAACCGGAATGTCCAACTGATAAGGCTGAAAATTTTTTCACTTGTTATTTACAGTAAGATAAATACATTCACCAACTTTTATTAAAATAAAACCATTTAAAGTGGGTGTTCGGATTTATATGTCACTTAGTATAGAATGTTCGTGATAACCAGGATCATGTGGAATGACTGCTGATTCCGTCTTAGCGACCCAAAAGGAGTGCGATCGAGGTAATTTGAACCCCATTTAAAGCAGTGTAATTATTAGTAACCATCACAGAAAATGCAACACCGACTAGGAGTGCTGTAATTTTGAGCATATTATTACAAGCTTTAGATCCACTGATGAATAGCAAGTGATTAAAATTTCAACTCAAAATTTCGCAAAATAGCAATGCGCGGTGGGTTATAGTTGACTTGCAATTAAAAACATTATGAGCAGTAGTAAGAAGATGAAGACATGCCATTTCCATTCGGAATGGGAAGAAGAATATTTCTCTACAGAAGTTGAAGGTAAAAATGTATGTTGCATTATAAAACTATACATTCGAATTTTGAAAAATCATTTACATTACGTTCTGCAACCAGAGCGGAAAAACTGAAGCAATTAAAAAATCAGTTAACAACAGACAATTCAAATTCATAATATTTATTTCGTCATGAATACGAGGGATGTTTTTTAAGTTTTGCATATAGAAACATAGTAGGCCGCGCGGATCGAACGTCAGTACTGAATCTTAACCTCACTCTTTAGTAAACTTAAATTCAAAGTTTCACAACGATACGTGCAGTGTTCTCACTATAGTGAATTTTTAAGTGTCACCAAATTAGAAAATAGCAAGGGAAATAAAATTTAACCTTGAGGAAGTCCTCTTTTTATAGGTTTAAAATCGGTTTTGTAAATAGCGGTTTGAACGGTTGCTTAAATATGTTTTTCTTAGATTTACGGAGCTCTGCGAAAACCCCTTACTTGGCTAGTAACATTTCATGATTCAGAGTGTCGAACGCTATACTAAAATCGAGAAGAACCATGCACGTACTATTTTTTTTGTTCTTGATGATGTCTGATTTCATCCAAGATATTAACTAATGATGTACTTGTGCTAAAGTTTTGCCTAAAACCGGGTTGACTATCGGCTATGATATCGTTTGTGTCACAAAAAATCTAAATTGATTACAAATATGCCTTAGTTTTGAAGATTTAT